GCATAGAGTCTCTCAAGTAATCAAAGTTAGATCATCAGTAATGGGAAAAATTAAATCTGTGCACCAGTTAATGGGCTGCAATGAACAAGAAATCAATTCTGTGCTACTTTTGCCAAAGATATGCGGCCCGAATCTACCCACAAGGAAACTTCACACAATCTGATCAGGGGACATTCTTCCAGTAAGTGGGCTGTCACCTTGAGAAACCAAAGCTATGAAAGCCAAGGAAAGACTAAAAAAAATTCCGGATTGAAAGAAACTGGGAGACATGACAACTAGGTGCAAAGAATGATGCTAAATTTTGATCCTTGCACTGTGGGGGGTCCAGCTGGAACAATCAAGTATTGGAATATGAATGGGCTTTGTGCATTAGACTGAAGAATTTTACACAAGTCTACCTTCTGATTCTGATCGTCCTGTAAGGTCACGTGAAGACACCTTGCTTGACAGAGATGCACAATGGAGGATTCTGGAACTGCTGAAGTATCATCATCTGTAGTACAGTGGTACAGTACTCTCCAGTGGTATAGGAAGAAAAAAGTACTTTGTTCCATTCTTATCCTTTTTTAAGTTTGAAATTATTTTAACATAAAAAAAGTACTTCACATGCTGAGTGCATATAAAACAGGGAAATCCTAGCAATGCAATCTGTTTTTCTAAATATTTTACCTAATTTTATTATTTAAAATTTTATTTTAAATAGTGGGAAGAATTAAAAAAGGAAGGAAAAAAACAAATATTTATCTTATAATTGGTCCACAGTTTAAAATGACAGCAAATTTCTGACAGGCTTTATTCCAGAATATTGGTAAAAAATGTGGTTCTGAGTTCTATAATCACTAAGGAACGAGGTCTCTCGCCCCCAGGGTGACTTTCTAAATTTCACTGGCAGAAACTATAGCTACTCAGCACCTAAATTGTGTCAGGAACTTTCTTCAGCTACAGTCTCACTTAATTCTAGCAATCAACCCCATGTGGAAGGTATTATTCCCCTTTTCTTAAAAAAGGAAACTGGAGGAAGCCACACAAGGAAGATGTCAAGATTCCATAACTAGTAAGTGGCAGCAGGATTGGACTGAGGATTCCAGGAAACAAAAGCCTTTGCCCTTAACCATGAGACAACGTTGCCTAGTAGTTTCCAGCCCCAAAATCAAACCCATTTCTTTTTAGAGTTCACTGATTTGTGTAAGGTTAACCCATAATTACCAATATGCTAAAACACTGGCATTTAAAATTTTTTTAAAGGTTATTAAATTGTGGTTTTGTCTCAGTAGATTGAGACCACCACCAAAACTGATAATATAATGAATGATTTTGTCAGCCCTCNACTGTGAGAAAAGATAAGATACTTACTGTCCCTACTTAGCGGAAAGTAAAAGCCAGTTAATTATTTAATGTAACAGACTAACTTGCCCTGGAGGTAGAAATGCAATTTTAATGGTTTTACATTTCTTGAAATTGGTTGTTATGACTTGCTTTTAAATTACTATCAAGTGTGAACTTGAAGTATACTTTTGAGTTTTTGAGAGAAAAACTGCAAAAATAAATAAAGCAAGCTAACTTACCTCAGGAGCAAAGTCAGCAACATGAGTCTTCTCTTTCTCTAATGCACCTTGAGACACAAACATGGGGAAATAGCAGTTTTCAACACCAAGTTTCTTGATCTCAGAATCAAAGAAGTCCTTGATGGATTCCCAAATGGAGTACGCCCAGGGACGGAGAATATAGCAGCCACTTACATCATAGTATTCAATCATTTCTGCCTTGGTGATAACCTTTTTAAAAGAAAGACATAGTCTTTACAGCCTAAATTGAACCAAAACTATAATAATAAGTTATATGATAACCAAGCTTCAAATACGGAGGCTTCCACAGTTGGTGCATCCTCTTAATGTGCCTGTAAAATGCCCTTTTCTGTAAACTGTACAAAAGACTTGAATTCCAACTTGTTTCTGCTGTTTAGTATCTTCATGACTTTGGGGATAATCCCTTTACCTCACCAAATAAAAAGAAAAAAAACAGTGATTATCTCATAGGGCTACTTCTCGATTCATTACTTAATGTGAGCATGAGCATGCTTATAAAACTGTTACATATTAAATGACTTTTCTACGTATTACTAAAAGTATTCTATGTTAATTACTTTGTGTCTGGACTTTAGAATTTAAATATAAAGTCACCTTTGAGAAATTTAAAACATAAAAATCAGCTGAATGCATACTCACTTGAGAATACCAATCTGCAAGATTTTCTTCCTTTTTTGCCTCAAGACCCAACCTGCAGATAAGAAAAATAAAATAAAATAAAAGTCCCTTCATTCAGCAATTGCTTTTAGGTTGAATGGAAATAAACCTAAGTTCAAATGTATTAGTTTTTCTTCAGTATGAGTTATTTCTGTATTTGTATCTCTTCTATATTCATTCCTGCGATTGTTTTTAATCTAGAAAACAATTCAGTCATCTCTTAACAGGCAGTGAGACACTGTTCACAAAAACTAGGAAAGCCATGATTTTAATGCAGACATGTCTTTTACAAAGTTCTGTGTAATAAAGACAGAGCCTATTTCACATAGTATTCTCTCACTAAAAAATAAGAATAACCTTTTGTGAACCTCAATCCAGGTAAAATTAGTAAGAGCAGTGTCTCCCTGAAAGTAACATATAGAAAGTAATAAAAACATTGGCTGTACGTGTATACACATGTGTACATACAGGTGTGTGTGTGTGTGTGTGTGTGTGTATACATATATATATCCTTATGTATCTTGCAAGTTTTTTTTTAACTGAAGCTAATAAAAGTTACAGAGATAGATGCTTCCAAAATGAATTAGATCTGCAATAAAAAAAAACTATTCCAGAGAATAATTATTTTCTTCAAAGCCCACAATTATTCAAGGCACTGTGATCTTATCATCCACACAGAAAAATCTACTCATTAGTTACACTTTATAAAAGGCACATTTAGAGTTTATAAAGGCGGCTTTATTGGCTTAAGATCCTACCATATTTACATTTATCTCAACGAAATGCCCGTATGAAACTTGACCCATTCACGACCAATCAGAGGGTAAAAGGCCAAAGATTCTGTTTTCTCTTCCACTATTCTATAAATATGATCACCCAGGCAATGGTCAAGAAAAATAACTGTTGTATTATCTTATTTAAGGAGACATTGTGTGTATGGTAAGAAATGAGAGGAAAAATCTGAAATTCAGCTACAGAAGTATAAACAAAGTATCTCAAAATAGTAGTTGCTAAAAACAGCATTTTTTTTTCTTATTAAGCCATTAAACAAGCCTAGCACAAAATTCACTTTAATTCTAAGGTGGGGATTACAGACAAGGAAATCACATTATTCATGAAGATGGATGATACTAAAAACACTGGCTATCCCACTGCTTTGTCTTTAAACAAGCTTTGTTTTATATCTACCATTTTAAAAGTTTTAATGAAGTTCTCATTTACTTCCACAAAAGATTTTCATTTGAAAAACCTGCTCAAGGTGCCAAACAGTGAGTACAGTTAGGCTACCAATTGTGTTAAAAGGGAGGAAAAAGACAACTTCATATATATTTTGTTTTACTTGGGTAATCAAATGAAAATCTCTGAATGATACAGAGGAAACTAATTTTGAATTACCAATTTATTATGGTGTCAGGAGAAACTGAGATGGGAAAGCAGGGGGCGCTCACTAAACATTTTATATTGAGATTCTCCAACCAAGCAAATGAATATGTAACATATTTAAATAAATAGAAAATTCACTAAAACTATTTGATGTTACAACCTTTAGCATTCTCCAACTTAACGTGACAAACTAACCAAAATTTGTTTTTTTCTAAACAAATAATTTAAGAGTTGAATTTATTCAAAATTTTGTTTCACTTCAAATGAAGTTTCCATGTTATGTTACCTGGTCTGTTTCTTAGGCCCTTGTCCTTCTCCTGCTCCACTTGAGGATGGCTCACTTCCTTGGTTTTTAACAGAGTCTTTCTTTGGGCCATCATTTGGTTTCTGCAGCTTACTCTGCTTTTCAGATTTGTTTTCTTTTTCTTTCTTTTTCTTATCTTTGTCCTCAGTCCCAATGGCAGAGACAGGCTTATACTCTACTCCTGCCAGAGACTTGTACTGTGCTTTCAGCTGAAGGAGGTCTTGTACAGCTTTATCTACTTGATCCTTTCGTTTGACAAAAGAGGAAACAGAGAAGGCAGTATTTAACTCAAATCACTATCTAAGTTCCAATGTCCAAAGTTTTGTAAGCAGATTTGAGCACACAATTAAAGGCAGAGGGGTATGGGTAGGAGTAGAGAATGTTAAATATACTGACTACTGAAAAGAAATAAAAGAATATGGCAAACAAGGACAAACAAGGAAAAGAGGGACTGAAAAATAGTACCACAGCAACACTGTCCACACAGTTGTCACAAGGCACATGTGACTATTTAAATTTAAATTAATTTACAGTAAATAAAATTTAAAATTCAGTTCCTTGGTCACAATAGCCACATTTCAAGTGCTCACTAGCCACATATGGCGGGTGACTACTGTTTGGGTAAAATGTTAAAGAATATGTCCATCATCAAAGAAGAGTCCTAGTAGAAAACCCTAGTATATAATATGGATTCCACTGCAATTTAAGTGCCATTAAATTACAGATGTGAACATTTCATAATTATAAAGATAAGGTAATCAAGTCTATATTATGGATTAAACTTCAAAACTTTTGACAACTATTTTCCACTCATATGAATCTGTATGAAAATAAATCATACTCCTTTAAGATAATGCAATTAGCACAAACTATACTAGAGCTAAAAATAAAAATTCCATTTGAGATTGACAGAACTGGAGAATAAATAAAATGAAGAATGTGCATCAAGGGCCTACAATGAGCCAGGCACTGCTAGGGTCCAGGTCCTTATTCTCAAGTATCACAGACTAGAGAGAAACAGATAATTTAAGAAGCAATGAAAATAGTGTGTTTACGGGGAAGGCAATACAGCATGACTCTGTAGCCTCTTACTACACTGATAGACAGTGACTGCAATGGGGTGTTGGGGGGAACTTGATAACATGGGTGAATGTTGAAATCACAATGTTGCTCATGTGAAACCTTCATAAGATTGTATATCAATAACACCTTAATTAAAATAAATAAATATATATACTTATAAGCAGATATGAGCACACAATTAAAGACAGAGGGGTATGGGGTAGGAGTAGAGAATGTTAAATACACACACACACACACACTGTGCATGTTTAAGTATTACAACAGATAAAGGCAGTGTTGTATAAGAATATCCTGTCACCTCTAGTTGGGAGGATGGGGGGAAGGATGAATGAAGCTTCTCTAAAAGGCAAGATAAGAGAGTTAAAAACTGAAATACAAGAGTAGAAGTTAGCCAGATTTGATGAGGCAGAAAATAGCCCATAGGGCAAAAAACAAAAATGCAAATAAAATACCACACTAACCTTAGAGACTTTTTCAGCTTTAAGTTTTCGAACTACTTCTCCTTGAGAAGCTACTTTGTCAAAAAGTACTTTGGCTTCTGGTGTTTCTGGACCAGTAGGCTCAGAGCTTCTGGCTGGACTTGAATCTGAACCTTGAGATAATGGGGGCTGACCAGGAATGTACTCCTTCCCAGTTTTTTCTTTATACTGAGCTTTCAGAGACAGTAAACATTCTACAGCCTCATTTACTTTAGCCTGAGATAAGAGAGAAAAAAAAGATAAAGATTTAATACCTACTGAAATTTCTGAAACTTTCATTGATTAAAAGTCATTAATTATTACCAAAGTATTCCTGCAAATAACTGTCATGGAGAAACCCACGCACAAAGGAGTATTTAAATAATAGCCTAAAACAATAGACAAAAGCTAATGGAAAGTGAAAAATATGAATATTATAATCTATATGCAACTCATAAAAATAAACATTAGCACATACATACAAAATACTACAACTTTCTATTTTATATATGTAAATAGACAAATAAATAATGGAACATTCAGGCAAACTCTCAGTGTCCAAGCCATGGGTCTGTAAATAGTGGAGTCAGAATTCACAAAATCAGAATAAAGATCAGTTCAATGGCTTTGTCTATACAAACCTTATTTTCTTTAGCCTACTATACAGACACTAAATACAGCACTGAAAAAACCCTCAGTTTGGGCACAACTAAACAGTACATAACTCTTTTAAAAATTTACAAAGAAATGAGAAGGTGTACTGAGATTTTAATTAGCCATTGATATGTATAAATCATCCTGTGATACTTCAACAAAATCATAATGAAAAAGAATGAAACATTCAGCCCCACTGAGACACTGTGACTCGAGCAGAGCAAAGCAAGCAAGGGACCCAAGCTGGGTACCTGACCTGAGCAGCAGGACTGTTTAACCCCAGACCAAGACACCACTGGAAAGCCAAGAGGACAAGCGGGAGTCAAAGCAATACAGGAAGCACTGGTACTTCAAAGAATCTGAGCAAATGAAATTTCCTTGTGCAGCTATTTTGTGATACAATGTTTTGCTGCCAGTTCAGAGTCTGGCACACCAGGCACAACTCATAGGGAGTAAAGGTAAGAAGAGAAATAGCACAAAGAGAACCTGTCTCTTGCTTATATTCTGTCTTTAGAATTAAAAGCATTTTCACAGCAGAACTTATGTGGCCCTAAGAAAAAGGACACAGTTAGTTAGTCAGACATACAAGAATAAAGGAAAAAATTTCCATCAGCTAAAAGAAAGAAAATGGGAAAAAAGTCCTGCAACCATTTCTACAAAAAAGAGGCCTATTTGAAAAAGGTTCCATTTTACACTATAAGCAGGTATTGAGTAGTATGAAGTCAGATGGCATACGTTTCACAAAGGAAAATCCCTTGTTTGGCAAGATTACAATTTAAAATATTATAAAGGACACTCTACTGAGCAGGAAGAAAAGGAGAGGAGCCACAGAAGGTGGACTTGAAGGGAGAGCTGAAGGTGGACGTCCAGGGGTTTTTTTTTTCCATGTCCACTTTTTGCTTATACTCTGCACCTTTACACTTATAAGTTCTTACCCAGTACCACCAATCTGATCCTGAAGCAGAAAAATGTGGTGGGGAGAGCCTAATTGAAGCCTGTCATTATAAATCCTCAGCCAATCACCTTCCTAAATATGATGTAGTAAAAGAACTATTTCTGAATGCAATGGAATGGTAAGAGACTTAGAGAAATTATTAATGTTGGCAGGCACAGACATGCTTAATAAACTAGTAAAACCATAAGTATCTGGTGCTTATAAACCTGCTTATAAAATGCAATGCCCCACTACCATCATCTCTAATGGGAAGTAACTTGGAAATTAGTCAAAATTGGCTTCCCAGTTTTGTACATTTCAGAAGCTACTTTCACATTCAGTTTCTCATTGGTTACTGAAACCCAGCAAGTAAAAAAAGGAATATTGTTTCAATATTATTGGACATGACTACTGGGAGGATTAAGTGTAAAAATATCATAGTGTACATAGTACAGTGGCAAAAGTAGTCTAAATAAATTAAATAACACTTCCATTCCTAGTAACTGGGCCCATTCTCTAGAACAGAAGAGAGCATTATTTAGTACTGTTAGAATCTGGGGAAAAAACAAAGAGCAGTATTTTAAACAGATACGGTACACTGTAAACATTCAATAAATTAAACTAAAAGTGAAGTCAGATTTATTTCAGTATCACATTTATCGTAACCAAAAAGCACCTACTAAAAGTACCTGCTCAATTTACCAGAGAATTTAGATTTTTTAAAAATCTCCAGTCAAAATCTGGTATCACTTAAGGGTTCCCCCATGAGGAATGTGAAACAGTCACGCCTCCAAAACCCCTTGACAACCCTCTGTTTTATGAATACACCTTGAACCTTCAGGCCTCTACCTTTGCCGTCTTCGGCATCGGTCCCCAGCCTGCAGCATCAGCATCATACAGACGGACTTTTTACAATGACTTTCTCTGCACACCCTGGACTTAACTGAAGCAAAACCTTAGGAGGCAGGGTCCATCAACCTGTGTTTAAGCAAGCTCTCTACAATAAAGCTTAAGAACCATGGCTCTACACTGACGAGTAACTTCTCTCCACTTCATTCATCCATACAAGGCTTTTTCTATTTCAGGACTATTTTAAATACTCTTTTTGAACTGCTTCCTCCTTCCCTGCCACTTACAACCATAAACACTTCTGAGAGAACCGATACGTATCACAGGGGATTACAGTTAGTGTTTACGTTTTCTCTCCCACTGCCTCTTCTGCACTAGAAGACGAGATGCTTCTTAATATTTTCAGGGCCAGGCACATAGCAGGTGTCAGTAAATGTTGATTGTTATGTCAAAATAGTCAAGCAGTCTATAAACAGTACGTCTAAAAAGACGACAAGACCACCCTAAGTCATTTGTATTCATAAGCTTGCTTACAACATTGTCTGGACTCCTCCCAGCACACTGACCTTGGGCGCCTTTTCAGCTTTCAGTTTACGAACCACCTCCCCTTGTGCAGCAACTTCGTCATAGAGAGATTTACTTTCCTGAATATTCGCTGATGACTGAGAAGAAATATTCTGCACTACTGCAGCAGGAGGATTTCCAGGTTTATATTCCTGGCCTGTTTTCTCCTTATATTCAGCTTTCAAAGCCAAAAGCTGTTTGACAGCTGCATCTATATCTTCCTTTGCTGCTTTCTTGACTTTTAGCTCACGAACCACATCCCCTTGAGCAGCCACTCTGTTGTAAAGGGCCAGGGCATCCTCAGATGTAGCACAGGTGTTATTCAAAGAAGCTGGTCTTTCCTTAAATGGAGTAGATGTCTACAGAGGCAGAAAACCAAAAGTAAAATAATTAATTCATGTTAAACATTTTCTCATCAAGTTATATTAAACTGATTGTTCCATGTTTCAGGTTAAAAATAAAATTTAAAATTGTAATTCCTTTAAGTTAAAAAGGGATAATCTCCTTCCTAAAAATCTATCCTGAGAAATGACAAAAGCAAACAGAGGCAGAGGTACGTGGATATTCACTGGAGCATTGCTATCATTGTAAAAAACTAAAATAGCATCAATTTTTACCCTATTAGGGGACTAAAGAAATTATGACACATCCATCAGATCTGAGAAAAAATCACTGTTCCACCAGCTTAACTAGTTACCTAAGTTGCTTCTGTTTTTAACTGTAAAAGTAATTGTAAATGTACTGAATCCATCAGATTGATAGGAAAATAACAGGAAATAAATATATGTAAAGCTTTTTCATATATTACAAAGGTTGAGAAAAAGTAAGTATCAGTAAATGTTAGGTAATACTATTAATAATCATTTTTTAACAGATGATGTATATCTAGATTGTTGACAAGGCAAGAGCTCCATGCAATACTGTGACACAATTTTACATCATTACTATTGAATAATTCCATTTGTGTAAAATTATGTAGCTACAGGCATATGATTATATACAAGTATAAGCAACAAACTTAGAGATGTGATCACTAAAACCATCTCTGGGTAGTGAATAGCTCAACTACTTTTATTCTTGATGGCATGCTTTCTTCTGCCTAGAATGCTTTCCTCCCTACAGAAATCCTTCCAGATTTTAAAATCCAGCTCACATCAAACCTTCCCCCATGACTTTTTAATGGTCTTCTAGTTAAATTTTCCAAGTAACCTTATCTATACTCATGGAGTCATGTGTATTAAACTCCAAAACATTTCACTTCTACTCCAGAACTCTGTCCTGATCCAATCCCAGCATTCTGAATGGTCTTTAGGACATTTTTACTTGGGTAGCCAAGAAGCACCTCAAGCTGTATCAGAGCTGCATTTTCCATGGAGGCTAGATTCTGAAGTCGGCAGGTAAATCAAAGCTGCGTATCATCAAAATAACTTCCCCAAATTTCTCAAATCACTCAGAGTTTATTTTTTGGTGATGTTATAAATATGATGCCCACACAAACAAACATTAATATGCATTTATAAGTGCATGATGTTATATAGTAAGGTAAGAATACAATTAAGTGTGCCACTCTATCAAAAATATATACATTCTGCTCTGCTACAGTTTATTTTTGGTAATATGAACTGACTTTTTCATGGTCAGTAAACGGGAACAATATCAGTGAAAACCTGAAAAAAAAAATCATACCAAGTTCAATGTGATTTCTCCCACTGTACCAATGTTTTATGTCAAAGAAGCAAACAGGAAAAATCTTTCTCACAATTAAAGAGAAAGCATTACAAATACATGAGGGTCTTAAGGAAAAGCTAAAATCCTGCATTAGGTACCTTCCTTTAGTGCAGGTACTTTAACAACGTTGTTTTCCATGACATTAAGCCACCTGCTGAAGGTACACAGGTCCATGAAGTTTCAAAGACATTTACTTCTGCATTCTAAATAAATAAATAAATAAATGATGATGACTCAGCAGGGTACATTCTGCATCAGACTTTACTGGAGGCAAATATCCTCAAAGACCTACATAGCAAAGGACAGAGCATGCACCTTAAGGTTTGAGGCTGCAAATGATGGCTGACTGCAATGTGGGTACAAATGCAGTCAACTGTACCTCAGTTTAGGATCTATGTAGGTTTTAAGGCATATCCAAACTTTTTGACACTCCTCCCATTAAGAGGTAGGGTCTATGTCCCCTCGCCTTGAATCGAGGCAAGCTTATGACTACTTTGACCAACAGAGCATGCGAGAAATGTTGAGATTTCCAAGATTAAATCTTCAAAGGCAATGCTCTTCCACCTTGTCTACTGGACATGCACTTTGGAGCCTAGAGCTGTCATCTACCAAGTCTCACTACCCTAACACTACCATGCTGAAGAGGTCACTTGCAGCTCTTCCACTCAGTGTTTCATTGAGTTCCTAGCAACAGGCAGCAGCAACTGCCACCCATGGGAGTGAGCCATTCTGAATGTCCAGCCTAGCTGAGCCTTCAGTGACTGCTACCCAGCCACCATCTGACCAAAACCACACAAGATGCAAGGTTTTCAGTGGTTTGTCCCAACCCTATTCTTCCTGATACATCAGACCTGGTATTTTAAGTATGCCATTTTGTAGAACATAAATGTTTAGGAACACATAAACTTATACCATAACAACAGGATGTCTACAGTATATGCAAAAGGTGAGAGAGGCACAGGTGGAAACTGGGACCAGTGAAGGAACAGTAGCCAAATTTCCTGTCTCCCACTTATTCCATTATATATATCAGCAGGTTTCAAGGTATGAGCTAAAGACCCCAGAGGACTTCTTAGACCCTTTCAAAGAGATCTGCAGGGTCAAATCTATTTTCATAACACTACTACGACTGTAATTTGTCTTTTTTGTTCTCATCCTCTAATGATGTATGGTGCGATTTTTCCAAGGCTGCTAAGTCAGATATTAAAAGAATATGCAAAAATGCAAAATCACACCACTCTCCTAACTGTAAGTTTTATTTTGGAAGATACAATTGTTTTTCATAAAAATATTACTTATACAAACATGTAATTGGATTTATTATTTTTAAATGAATTAACAAATTCTTTTTAAACTTATTATTTAATTTTTAGTATGGTAAATACTGATAAATATTAATCCATATAAACAAAGGGGGTCCTCAATTATTTTTTAAGAGTGTAAGGGGTCCTGAGATCAGAAACTTTGAGAACTGCTGGTATATACATACACAAAATAGCATGGGGATACTGCACTATTTGAATTCTTTTTCCTTTTCCTTTAATTTTTTTTGGCTGAGATCACAGTTTTTGATTTACATTAATCAAAAGCTCAAGTCATGATCCTCCCACTATAAATAGTTCCAAACTCCTATCTCCTAATAAACTCGTGTACTCCCGACTTTCCTGGTTCAGGTTATTTAACATCTATTTACCTAAACAGTTAACCACAACAAAGTTAGAAGTTACTGTCTTAACCAAATTCTACTTCCTGGATTCATTTCTTACTTTGTATCCTCCAGGCTCTCATCCTCTGGCTTCCTGACCACTTACACTGCCTCCGAATCCTACACCCAGTCCAGTCCTCTCTCTGAAATGTCTTCTACACTCCAGCCCAGTCATCAGGGGGCACCCACCCACCAACATCTGTGATCGCAAACTACGTTTCATGATGCTCAGGGTGCCAGAGGCAGTTCACAGGGGTGCCATAGGGTGCACAGGGCGCTATAAACAGCAGAGGTAAACAGAGCAGTATGTGCAACATCTGTCAAACACTGCATGTACTACAAGCTCAAAGCAACTTAGAAATTCTGCTTAGAGTTTTAATATTAGAGTTTTTGCTGAAGTTTTAACATTAGAATGAACTACATTCCTTTCAATTTGTCATGTATTTGCAAAGCTAGATTTTCCACAGCTGCCATGTTAAAAATCAAACACCACAGGAAAATCAATGTGGAACAAGAAATAAGCATGGTAGTGTCCAAGGTTCAAGAAAGAAATACAAGAGTAAATTTTTTCTTTCAATTTGTATTAAGACTTCCAGAATGAAACAGAAATAAGAATGAAATTAAAATATTTAACATTTGAGAACAAAATATTTTAAGAATAAAATTTAAGTTTCTTTTCTTTCAATGTATATGTATTTTTTAAATGGCTACTAAATTACTGGAATTAAATTTTAACTACTTCATAAGGAGAACCATTAGGAATTCTTAGCCTGGGGTGCTAAAAAAAAATTTACTAAGAAACTAATGGTGCTATGAACTGAGGAAGTTTGAGGACCTCTGGCCTACATAATAAAGTCCCCAATTCTCTACACATGTCACCACCTCCCAAAATCACATCACGTGTCATGAGGACAGAAACTATGTCTCCACCTGGAATGTTCCGCTGAACCCTGACTGCCAGGCAGATTCCTAGCTCATTTTTAAAGACAAAGATTACCTACAAGACAAGAAAGGAATTTTTAAACAGCAAGTAGAACAGCTTCCTATCATCCACAATATAGTTCCCGCCCATATTCTCTTTTCCAAACCTCAATGACTATCGAGAATTCTTCTCCCAGGGGCACTGGAGTATGATAGAAAAAGTAAAGACAAGGAATCAGAAAACCAGGTCACTGTTCCCGACTCTGTCAGGGATAACTTTTGTCACATTGAGCAAGGCTTTTTCCTTTCAAGTATAAAGTAAGTAGCTAACTAAGAATAGATGGTCTTCAGGATGCTCCTCAGCTCTGTACAATGCTCCTGAGTGAAACAGGCTGTTAAAAGGAAAAGGATCCAGCGCAGCCTCCATAAGGAAAAAAAAACTTTTCTAAAAACATTCTTCTCATCTAGTCTTTCATCCTCAAATTTCACATAATAAAATTAAATTTAAAAAATCTTGTTTTGCAAAGTGTCTTGAAAACTTACATAAAAGGACAACCACAAAACCCCCAAAAGTAGGAATTATTGTCTTCTTCAGTTTCAGCAGTAAGAAAAACAACCATTTGTAGAGAAATAGAGTCTAAACCCTAGGACAGAAAGATCATTGATTAGAGACATATCCATAAAAGTCAGAATTACCTCATTTTTCGCTGTTTCTATCTTGGTCTTTTCCTTTGACCCAGACGTTGGCATTTCCTTTGTATGCCCATCAGGAATGTATATCAAAACACATGGGGCTTCTCTGCAACTATATGGGCTAAAAAGAAAATGCAGGGCCAAAAGTTAATTTGAACAAAATTATCTGAAAGCAATTAAAATTGAATTCCTAGATTAACGCAGTGATACTGTGTCGATGCTTTTCAAAGTATAAATAAACAGCCCTTTCTTTTATTCAAATCAGAGACTTTTCAGAGTAGTTTAAAAACAATACAGACACAATTTTACTGGGCTTTGCTTTATGGGCGCTTTGCAGATAGTTCATTACAAACTGAAGGTTTGTAAGCACCCCTGCCTCTAGCTTGTCTGTTGGTGTAATTTTTCCAACAGCGTTTGCTCATTTTTTATCTCTGTATCACATTTTGGTAATTCTCGCAGTATTTCAAACTTATTTTTCATTATTATTATATTTGCTATGGTGATCTATTGATCACGGATTATGACCTGCTAAAATTTCAGCTGATGATTAGCAGTTTTTTTGCAATAAAATATTTTTTTAATTTAAGTAATACATTATTTTTTTGGTCATAATATTATTGCACACTTGACAGTCTACAGTATAGTTTAAACATAACTCTTGCATGCACTGACATATCAAAATTCATTGGACTCGCTGTATTGTGATACTTGCTTAATTGCAGCTGTCTGGAATCAAACCTGCAATATCTCCGAGTCATGCCTGAAAATACCTAAATAAAAATGGACAGCACTGATAATGAACTTCCAATTTATGAACTTTTATAGATGTTATCTACTAACCCCAGTACAAAAGTACATCCTCTCTGCCTGCCACCAGAAATGGCATTAGTGGATCCTAATGGTCTCGGTTACTGATGTAAAGGAAATGCATCTATCTACATTCCACCCTAATCTGCTTACAAACAGAAAAATTTCTGTAACATGTTTTGTAAGAATGTTGCAATTCTAAAGGGTACAGTAATTAGCAAAATATCTTGCCTGAAACTATTTATAAGCAAGGGGTTTCTTCAAATCATGTGGTAAATGCCACAAAATAAAATTAAAAAGAGAAAAAATTCAGTAACAGTAGGACCCTTTCCATCTTTTCAGTATTTTTTAATAGTTGTATTGGTATGTAATTCACACACGAAAATATTCATCCCTTAAAAGTATACAATTCAACAGTTACATAAAGGTAGGCAACCATCACCACTAGTTTTAGAAACTTTGTATCTCCTCAAAAAGCAACTCTGTACTCTTTATTTATCACTTCCCAATCCCTCTTTTCTCTAGCCCATGACAATGACTAACCCACTTTGTTTCTATGGATCTATTTTGGACATTTCATATAATGGAATCATACAATATATGGTCTAGGGTGACTAGCTTCTTTCACTTTGCATATTTACAAGGTTCATACATGTTGTAGCAGTACTTCATTCTTTTTTATCACTGAACAACATTCCCTCATATGGATACATCATATCCATCCATCAGTTGATGGACACTTGGGTTGTTTGCATCTTTTGGTTATTATGAATAATGCTACTTTGAGCATTTGTGTACAAGTTTTTGTGTGAGCATATGTATATGTGTAAGAATGAAATTGCTGGGTCAAATGGTAACTCTATGTTTTACTTTTTGAAGAACTGCCATACTGTTTTCCAAAGCGACTGCATTGTTTCACAATCCTTTCAGCAATGTATACAGGTTCCAACTTCTCCACATCCTCAACACCTGATATTGTCTGTCATTTTATTACAGACATTCTAATGGGTATGAAGTGGTATCTCACTGTGATGCCACTAACTAATGATGCTGAGCATCTTTTCATGTGCTTATTGAGTATATCCGCTATGGAGAAATGTCTATTCAAATCCTTTGTCCATTTTCAACTGACCTGTCTTTTTACTACTGAATTTTAAGAACTCTTTATTTACTCTGGATTTAAGTCCTTTATCAGATATATGTGTAAACATTTTCTTCCATTCTGTGGGCTGTCTTTTCACTTCCTTGATGGTGTCCTTTGAAAGTGTAAAATTTTTAAACTTTGACACAGTTCAACTTACGTATATTTTCTTTGGTTGCCTGTGCTTTAGATGTTATACTTAAGGAAGCATTGCTAAGGTTACAAAAATTTATACTTATGCTTTCCTCTAGGAGTTTTAGTTTTAGCTCTGACATTTAGGTCTTTGATCCATATTTGAGTTGATTTCTGTACATGGTATGAGGTAGGGGTTCAGTTTCACTTTTTTACATGTGTTCATCCAATTGACCCAATACCATTTGTTATAATTCAATCCTTTAGAATAAATAGAGTACCTACTCTGCTCCCGGCATTACCATAGCTGGTCCTATCACCACCATCGCTGAACATTTAACAAGGGCTTAGTAAGTACCAGGCACTGTGCTACATAATTTACGTGCATGATCTGATTTTAAAGGCAATATGATACTATGATAAATAAGGAAAAAGTATCTGCCCCTAATGAATTCCACTGGTGGAAACAAAGTAAATATATAGACAGATGGACAGAAAGATAGATTCAACACTGCTAGGTAAGTATTCGAGAAAGGAAAGTGCTGCATGCTTTAGGGACACACAGTTTTGGGTGCCGGTCCAGATTAGAGATCTGGAGGAGGTAACATTTGAAAGGCTACCCAGATGAAGAAAGAGAAGCAGAGCCATTCCTGGAAAAGGCAAGAGGTTCAAAAGCACTTGATACCTTTGGTTAAGCCCCTAACAGTACATTATCCTGAAAAGAAGAGATCAGGGAATGGTAAATTACAACAGTTACGGCTCAGGTGAGTAGAGACACCATAACATGAAAAATTCTTAGATATCAAAACTAAGAAATTTACATTCTACTCTGAAACTAAGAAGGATTTTTAAACAGGAGGGAAGTGTGATAAAATTGTTACTTTGGATTTTTAGAAAATTTTAGGCCAATATAAAAAATGGATTAGAAAAGGGCAAAACTATAGACACAGAGACTACTTTAGAAACTGTTTTGTAGTCAAGGACTAGAAGCTAAGGGCGTGAAACAAGGCAATGCAGTGACTGCACAGAGATGGACTAGACGACCAGTACAAACTAGAGATGAACTAGACTTCCAGTACAAACGACAGGGTTTACTGTCTGGAATGGGGAATGACGGAGAACACACCAGAGATGGTATCTAGGATCTTGGAATTGTGAAGATTTTGAGTTTGAGAAACTTGAAAGATATCTAGTCAGAAATGTCTAAAAGGCATTAGATTCACAAGTCTAGAACTCAGGAGAGAGGTCTGATGACACAGATAAAGAAATGAAATGAAAAAACAGAGACAAAAAGAAAACTTAAAGGAACATGGACAAAAATTTTAGAGACTGAAAGTTCTCCTAATAATTCTATTACTTTATGGCTTAAAAAGAAAATGCAAACATTTTGCAGTTTTCCTCTAAATGTATCTCCTGCACTATTTATATTCTACACTATATCTAATAAAAGTGCATTATAAAGAAAAAAATAATAGTAATAATTTTCACTCAAAGATACAATGCATTCAAATTTTTTCTTTTCATTTTGGATTATATGAAGATGAATTATAAGATGGTGTAGTTTTACAAATGAATTATTTGCTAATATTATTCTTTTACAAAGTTATCACTTATCTCATAGTCTGAAATATTAAAGGTAGAAGAATAAATCAAACTGACTGGAGAACTGGGTTTAGTCAAGTACAGTATTTTAGTGGAAGTTCAATTTTTAACATAATGTTAAAATTGTTTATTAAAGGAACTTTAAGAATTTTCATTTAAACATTAAGTTACTTTTACATACCTAACAGGTTCATAAGGTTGGTCACATATGAAGAATCCTCTTCTCTGGAGTTGTATAATGTCACCTTTTTTCAAATCCTTAAGGCAGGGATCCCCCAGCATTAGGTCTTCATTCTGTAAAGATGACATAAGACCAAATACACTTTTTAAGAAATCAGAGAACAAGAACAAATCTAAAATGCACATGGTATATTCAGCAGCTGGAATATTTCATTTTAAACAGGTATGTTAAAGACTTTATTACTTAAGCACACACAGTAAAGCATTAAAAAAAATTACTTTTACTCTATTTTTACAACATTTATAAACTGACAGGCTTCAGGAAACTTTACTAACTTGACTGGCAACCCTGCAGACATAAGTAATTTTCCCACGATAAATACGTACTACAATGCAAGAAGCTCTTAGATCTAACTGAAAGGTACACTAGTATAGGACTTAAACACAAGGGCTCTGGAGCCAGGATGCCTGGGTTTGAATCCCAGCTCTACCACTGACTGTCTTTCCTTAGGTAAGTTATTTAACCTCAGTGCCTCAGTTTCTGTCATCTGTAAAATGGGAACATTGCTCTTTTACATTATTTGATTTTAACAAAGTTCTTCAAATCTTCTTTTATTTGAGGAATTTAAAACTAATTTTTAAGATACTAAATAAAAGTTTATATAATGCAGAAAGGTGAAATGTGGTTTCTTTTAGAAGGCTACCTTACTGTTCTTGTTGACATACTGCTTAAAGTCCTCATCTTTTCCTATCACTGGCTTTGTGATCAAGTGCTCGTAAGTGACACAGATTGCTGGAATCGGGAGGGCACGTGCAGTCTCTGCAAGCCAAGTGATTTTAGTGGTTTTCTTGTAGTCTTTGTTCTCCAAATTCAATTTTGCATCAAGAGATACAATTTTTCCATCTGGATTCCTAGATACAAGATTGAAAAGTGTTTAAGGAAAATAAACCATAACTGCCATAGTGCATTGTTTTGTTCTATGTCTATAAAGAAAGGATAAGCAATTTTCTGTAGAAAAATTTCAATTCAAACATTTACTTGAGTTTCTAATATGTGACAGACATACACTGGTCAAGAAATGAATAAAACATAATCTATGGTATCAAGATAGTAATAATTCACTATCTGATGAAGAACATGAACATATTTAGAGATTTTAAAGTCACCTGCATTAAGCATGTAAAAATTTAAAATACCGTATTTTGAAAATTTAACAATTACTTGAAACCATACGTAATGACAATTAAGACTTCAGAAGTTAGAGAAATTAATCTTAGCATACAATGTTCCATTTATGTAATCTTAAGAGCAAATCAGTATGTGTAATATACTATATATAATAACCAAAAGTTCACATTCATCACAACATAATTTTAAAGTAGATTTTAGGATAGAGAATGTTTTATACACAAATTATGTTATATATACAAAATATACATAATGAGATTTAGATGACAAAAAGGGGCCCTAAGTATAAGAACTATTTTTTTATCTAGATGCAATAATTTTCATCATCAAAAGCATGTAAGATATCCTGCTACCCTATTAATAAGCTGGAACGTGTATGAAAAAAACAAACTGGTATGTGTCCAGAATTTGCAGTATTTATTATGCCTAGCAAGATTTCCTAGTCAGCAACATGAATTGAGTCTAAATTAGGTAATTCTTAATAAGTGAATAAACATAAAAGACTTTTCTTCCCTATTTATTTGAAAACAAACAAAAAGTTCTTACTTGTGTATTTTAGTAATGTTGATGTTGCCCCAATTTATAAATGTAACCATCTCACCCTCTGACAACGTCTCTGCATCAGCTCCTTCAATGAAAACTTTAGGACTATACCACACGGGCTTCAAGCCAACATCAGGATTCTGATGGATAAATACAAGAAATATTGGTTGAAACAACTTATTGAACCCAGTATGCAAGTTTATACATTCATTCATTTTATTCTTTGACCAAACAAAATGTATCTGTATTAGTTTGAATCCCAGGTCTGTGACACCAAGTAAGGCACCTGACCAATAATGCATAATCAAGTTAAAGGAGATGGCTTGCCCCTAAGATTACTCCCAGCCTAAAACAATCATTCTTTGTTTGCAGAACTAAGACAGTATTATTTGTCAATTAGTGTCCCTCCAACCAGAATCTGCTTTGCTATCTTCAGAATCTCACTGCTCTTGAAGCAAAGAAGAAAATTAAGTCATTCCTGATCAGTGAGTGGCTGCAGAACACTGTAAGATGACAGATGACACCTAAGCAGGAAACTGTGAACCTTTCATATTTTAGAAGACAAAAACTTTTTTAAAATTGAGGTACATATACCATAAAATGCATAAATAATGTACAGCTTAATAAATTTTGACATGTGTATGCACTCATGTAACAATCACCCAGATCAAGATACCAAACATTCTCATTAAATTTTTTTCTCCTTAACCTATTTCACACATCCTCCCAACCCTCTCCTCTCCCCTATGACAACAACTAGTCTGTTCTCTGTGTTCATGAGTTTCTTATTTGTTTTGTTTTTTTAGATTCCACATATAGGTGAAATCATATGGTATTTGTCTAGAGGACAAATTTTAAATACAGTATCATATACATATACATAAATTTCCTGCCTTTACAGTATATATTATATGAAGAAGAAAAAGAGATCTAGGGAATAAAGAGTCTGTATTTATTAAATTTTAGTTTTTGTTTGATAAAATTCAAAAAGATAAAAGGGTAAGATCCTTTGAAATTAATGTTAAACAGCATGTGTTTAATAATTGTTCAATGAATTGTTGAGAAAAATCAGTATAACAACTTACATTACGCTGGGCTCAGAACAGGCTAAACATAGAACATTTTGTGAAGGATGTGATGGTAACATAAATTCCACAGATCAAACTAAGTAATCCAGTCACTTAAAGTATGTTTGCTAATCAATTGGCTCTTTACTATTACTTCTTATTATTTATCCTTTTAACTATTAACTAAGCTTTCTGACCACAACTATCATTTTAACAAATAAGCACCCTTAAAAAGTTGTATTCTCACCATTCAAATTTAAAGCATTCATCAAGCTTCATATTTAAGCTAACTGTACTGGGTGATACAATATACCACATGACCACAATTCACCTGCTTGAACCAATCAGATGTTAAAATAAAGGCAAGGCCAAGTCAATCAATCAATCTTACATACATACACAGTGCCCAGATTTTTATTAGGGGTTCCCTTAAAATAACTCAAATCTTTAAAGATAAAAAAATAGTTAATATTATATACAGAAAGGTAATCATACAAGGCTACAACTTAGAGTATCTACCTCTTCATGATGCGTATTATCTTTTTTTTTTTTATTCCAACTTTTTATTATGAAAATTTCCAGACATACAGAAAAGTAGAGGACAATGACCATCCTTATACTCATCACCTAGATTCAACACTGGTTAATGGTTTAATGGTTTTGCCATATTTTCTTTTTCTCTCTAATTTTTCCTCCTGAATCATTTAAAAATAACTGGCATCATCATGACCTTCACTCTTAAATAGATGCATATTATCTTTTATGGTAGTCTATGAACATAACATAGTCATGAGTAAGGTTATAAGTATATTAGTCTTAGTATATGGGTTAGTCTATGAACATAATCTTCATTATATAATGAAGATATTTATAGACAATTCACAAAGCTGGGATAAAAAGATGTAGTTTTGCTTCAGGATTCTTAACCAAGCAGTCATGACTATCCAAGATGATAACCATGGCTTAACTAAATGAGGAATTTAAAACTAATTTTTAAGATACTAAATAAAAGTTTATATAATGCAGAAAGGTGAAATGTGGTTTCTTTTAGAAGGCTACCTTACTGTTCTTGTTGACATACTGCTTAAAGTCCTCATCTTTTCCTAGCACTGGCTTTGTGATCAAGTGCTCGTAAGTGACACAGATTGCTGGAATCGGGAGGGCACGTGCAGTCTCTGCAAGCCAAGTGATTTTAGTGGTTTTCTTGTAGTCTTTGTTCTCCAAATTCAATTTTGCATCAAGAGATACAATTTTTCCATCTGGATTCCTAGATACAAGATTGAAAAGTGTTTAAGGAAAATAAACCATAACTGCCATAGTGCATTGTTTTGTTCTATGTCTATAAAGAAAGGATAAGCAATTTTCTGTAGAAAAATTTCAATTCAAACATTTACTTGAGTTTCTAATATGTGACAGACATACACTGGTCAAGAAATGAATAAAACATAATCTATGGTATCAAGATAGTAATAATTCACTATCTGATGAAGAACATGAACATATTTAGAGATTTTAAAGTCACCTGCATTAAGCATGTAAAAATTTAAAATACCGTATTTTGAAAATTTAACAATTACTTGAAACCATACGTAATGACAATTAAGACTTCAGAAGTTAGAGAAATTAATCTTAGCATACAATGTTCCATTTATGTAATCTTAAGAGCAAATCAGTATGTGTAATATACTAAATATAATAACCAAAAGTTCACATTCATCACAACATAATTTTAAAGTAGACTTTAGGATAGAGAATGTTTTATACACAAATTATGTTATATATACAAAATATACATAATGAGATTTAGATGACAAAAAGGGGCCCTAAGTATAAGAACTATTTTTTTATCTAGATGCAATAATTTTCATCATCAAAAGCATGTAAGATATCCTGCTACCCTATTAATAAGCTGGAACGTGTATGAAAAAAACAAACTGGTATGTGTCCAGAATTTGCAGTATTTATTATGCCTAGCAAGATTTCCTAGTCAGCAACATGAATTGAGTCTAAATTAGGTAATTCTTAATAAGTGAATAAACATAAAAGACTTTTCTTCCCTATTTATTTGAAAACAAACAAAAAGTTCTTACTTGTGTATTTTAGTAATGTTGATGTTGCCCCAATTTATAAATGTAACCATCTCACCCTCTGACAACGTCTCTGCATCAGCTCCTTCAATGAAAACTTTAGGACTATACCACACGGGCTTCAAGCCAACATCAGGATTCTGATGGATAAAAACAAGAAATATTGGTTGAAACAACTTATTGAACCCAGTATGCAAGTTTATACATTCATTCATTTTATTCTTTGACCAAACAAAATGTATCTGTATTAGTTTGAATCCCAGGTCTGTGACACCAAGTAAGGCACCTGACCAATAATGCATAATCAAGTTAAAGGAGATGGCTTGCCCCTAAGATTACTCCCAGCCTAAAACAATCATTCTTTGTTTGCAGAACTAAGACAGTATTATTTGTCAATTAGTGTCCCTCCAACCAGAATCTGCTTTGCTATCTTCAGAATCTCACTGCTCTTGAAGCAAAGAAGAAAATTAAGTCATTCCTGATCAGTGAGTGGCTGCAGAACACTGTAAGATGACAGATGACACCTAAGCAGGAAACTGTGGACCTTTCATATTTTAGAAGACAAAAACTTTTTTAAAATTGAGGTACATATACCATAAAATGCATAAATAATGTACAGCTTAATAAATTTTGACATGTGTATGCACTCATGTAACAATCACCCAGATCAAGATACCAAACATTCTCATTAAATTTTTTTCTCCTTAACCTATTTCACACATCCTCCCAACCCTCTCCTCTCCCCTATGACAACAACTAGTCTGTTCTCTGTGTTCATGAGTTTTGTTTTGTTTTTTTAGATTCCACATATAGGTGAAATCATATGGTATTTGTCTAGAGGACAAATTTTAAATACAGTATCATATACATATACATAAATTTCCTGCCTTTACAGTATGTATTATATGAAGAAGAAAAAGAGATCTAGGGAATAAAGAGTCTGTATTTATTAAATTTTAGTTTTTGTTTGATAAAATTCAAAAAGATAAAAGGGTAAGATCCTTTGAAATTAATGTTAAACAGCATGTGTTTAATAATTGTTCAATGAATTGTTGAGAAAAATCAGTATAACAACTTACATTACGCTGGGCTCAGAACAGGCTAAACATAGAACATTTTGTGAAGGATGTGATGGTAACATAAATTCCACAGATCAAACTAAGTAATCCAGTCACTTAAAGTATGTTTGCTAATCAATTGGCTCTTTACTATTACTTCTTATTATTTATCCTTTTAACTATTAACTAAGCTTTCTGACCACAACTATCATTTTAACAAATAAGCACCCTTAAAAAGTTGTATTCTCACCATTCAAATTTAAAGCATTCATCAAGCTTCATATTTAAGCTAACTGTACTGGGTGATACAATATACCACATGACCACAATTCACCTGCTTGAACCAATCAGATGTTAAAATAAAGGCAAGGCCAAGTCAATCAATCAATCTTACATACATACACAGTGCCCAGATTTTTATTAGGGGTTCCCTTAAAATAACTCAAATCTTTAAAGATAAAAAATAGTTAATATTATATACAGAAAGGTAATCATACAAGGCTACAACTTAGAGTATCTACCTCTTCATGATGCGTATTATCTTTTTTTTTTTATTCCAACTTTTTATTATGAAAATTTCCAGTCATACAGAAAAGTAGAGGACAATGACCATCCTTATACTCATCACCTAGATTCAACACTGGTTAATGGTTTAATGGTTTTGCCATATTTTCTTTTTCTCTCTAATTTTTCCTCCTGAATCATTTAAAAATAACTGGCATCATCATGACCTTCACTCTTAAATAGATGCATATTATCTTTTATGTTAGTCTATGAACATAACATAGTCATGAGTAAGGTTATAAGTATATTAGTCTTAGTATATGGGTTAGTCTATGAACATAATCTTCATTATATAATGAAGATATTTATAGACAATTCACAAAGCTGGGATAAAAAGATGTAGTTTTGCTTCAGGATTCTTAACCAAGCAGTCATGACTATCCAAGATGATAACCATGGCTTAACTAAGAAGAACTCACTGCTACCTTCATTTAAAAATCACATTCTGAATTCAGATGGGCCAAGTATCATTTTCATTTCATGAGTGTTTCCAAAAACAGATTAAATGGCACTGTGATAGACTCTGGACTCAAGCTGAGATTCACTATTACTACATCTAATGCTAAAGACAAAGGTTAGAATGAATAAACTCGTTAATAGAGTATGTACCTCACCTTCCATATACAGATAAAAGCATGAATTACATATAATACCTCATCTTTCATAATGACTCCAGGAAGAGACAAATTCTTTACATGCTAATTATTTATACATACTACCTCTACAAAATAAAAAATAAAAAAAGACTTACCAAGTAAGTCTAACAGTTCTATGTGATGTGCTATGGATTACTAATAAATTTTTTCAGAAAGAAATTTACAAAAATATTTATATCAATTAGTAGCAAATCCTAACAAGTAATAGGATAGGAAATGATCCCCAAACCACATGACTGCCACCTAACCACACTTTCCCTTTGATTATCCCAGTCCTTCTATAGAGAGAGAACAACAGGGTGAAGTTGCAGAGTGACCTTTGGGTGTTTGGCTACTTCTTTCTTCTCTTCCAGAGCTCCAGGGATGTTCACTGGGATCACCTCTTTCTTTAGTAATGCGACATACCGTGGAGCCACTGGGTCAATAACCTGCAACAAATGCATACTCATGTTAAAATATTCAGGCATTTTTAAAAAACTTCATAAATTAAATAGCCCAGGAATATTAGCTGGCTTTCTTTGTTACTGCATTTACTAATTTTTTGGTTTATCTGCTAGCTATTCTCCAACATTTAACTGTCAAGCAGAAAAAAGAAAACCAATCTTAAACACAGACTGCACGGAGGATTTAGTTCCTTCCCAAGAATAACTACTCATAGGTGAAAAGAAACCAACTGTTAAAGTATAATATCAGAAACATTTAAAAAATAATTTTAATTCTGTATTAGAAGGTGAAGAAAAATTATACTGGAGTTATATATTAACCCTACAGGTAAATGTGATATTCAGTTTTGTTACTGTTGGAGAAGTCCATTTCAAAGGAATATAGATATATGTGTTGTAGCATCCTTTTCTATAATCACTGTTAGGTAACACATCACCACTGAAAGCAAAACAGCATTAGGTCACTATAATAAGGCAAGTCTATAGACTGAAGTATAAACAAGGTATTTCTACTGGTCTGCATGATTTATACATAAATGTATTCGGACCACCGTGTTCCCAGTAACCTACCAAGGGCCTGGCACACACAGGTAATCAACAAAAATCTGCCAATTAACTTAGCATAAGGAGCATGTGGTTAAAGAACTCCAGCTAATGTGGAGTTAATCCCTTTGTCTTTTGGCAGAAGATGCTTTAAAAACAATGTTATTAGAAGTGAGGGAGTGTCAAAGAATGATGTTTTAGCTCTGTCCTTAATGATCACTTCACAATGCCACGGTATTAAAAAATTTAGTTCACTGAGTTGTAAAGAAAGAGCAAGCTACAAAATAACAAAGCAGTAATTAGAGATTGAATGTGACACGAACCCTAAATAAAATGTCTGCAACTCAAGGATCAGAGAGAATGGGAAAGTAAAGGAAATGTAGGAAGATGTCATGAAGACCAGCATACAAACAAAAACAGAAACAAAATGGTACATGACTGCAAGAATGGGTTCATTTTTACTACCAACCAGAATTTTAAATTTTAAAATTTGAACTGTTTTTAAGACACTGCTTAATGACTAAAGATTCCACAGACTTAGGGACAAATAAAGCACACTGAAAAATACTCATCAACTTTCACTCCCTCCCATACCCCCAACTAAAAAGACATGAAGGGTTTGGTCTTGTTTAAAGCCACAGGCCCAGAAGGACTAGGAGAACAGGAAAGGATGGGGACAGCAGCAGCAACATTCTGGGTGCTGGAAGACCTACAGAGGCACCTCCTCTGCCCCATACAACCAGGTAACTGTCTCCCCCTCGCTCCACGGAAGAATGGAAGTTTTCTCTGCAAAAGAGAGGGTGTCTAGTTCCCGGCAGACACCAGAAAGAGCTGAACGTGAGGATGAGACGAGGGCATGAGGTGAATGTATGATACCACATGTAGAGGCCCTTAACAGTTTCCCCTGTTTGGCTCCAAAGCCCTGGCAGCCAGTCCTTCCCATTTCAGGCAGGTGGCTTAAAGAAACTCCTCTTGAAAAACTGCTTAATTCAAGAGGTAAGATATAAAGTTACTGACATGGAGGTTCTCCATCTAACTGGCCCAGCCAGACTATCCAACAGTGAGCTTAGTGGACAAGTCCAACTCTTACTCTCAGGGATTCCAACCACTCCTTTGGTACCCCCACATTAAAAGTAAGAAGATAACCAAGGTTAACCGGACATCTGATTATTTTTTATGTAACTTTAAAATGAAAGAAAAATCCAAAATAAGCAATATGCAGCAAAGAGATATTATAAGCAAACATTATAATAATTCCTATTAATATTACAAATCATGAAACAGGAACAAGAAGTTATTTTGGAAATCAGAGAACAAAAAGGGAATCTTGGAAATATGACAGCATAAATGAAAAACTCAACAGAAGGCAGGAAGGTAAAGTTAAGTAGATCTACCAGAAAGCAGAGCCAGAAGATGAGATGGAAAATAGGAAAGAAAATAAAATTAGAGGACCAGACCTGGAGGCCCAACAACTGCTCAAGATGACTTTCAGAGAGAAGAAAACATAGGAGGAGAAAAAAGATAATTTTTTTTTTAAATTAACCAGAATTGAAGGAATGAATTTCCCAACCAGAAGCCACACGTTCTTCCAATGGGCACAGATGAGAACAGACTCACACCACAGCTCATCGTCACTAAATTTCAAAGTGAAAAAACGGTCATATACAAGGTCTCAAAAAATGTCCTTTATCCCAGGCTGCCCTTCTCAGGAGCTACCAAAGGTTACGGCAAAGCAAAGAAAAGGGGTAACAAAAAGAGGAGGATCCGAAAACCAGGCAATCCACCCCAGAACAGAAGCCAGGGGGACCGCAGGACGACGGTGACAACTGCCCTTCGAGACAGCTGTGCTTCAGAAGTTACCGCGCCACTCATCTAAGCCAGAGCAGAGCAGTCAGAGAGGACCCCAAGATGAAAATGAAAGAATACTGGAGGCATGGGAACATTCTGGCAGGAAATTTATTAGTTTATATGGAAAGTTTAAGGCAAAATTACAAAAATGAATGAGGATGAAACAGAACAATCAACTATAAGAAAACCAAAAAGTTATGACAGAAAGTAAATGATCCAAATCCTCTTTTTCCATTGTGGGAAGTCAAATGATATGCCTAAAACTAAAAAATCATAGTTGCATCACATATATCTCATTCAGACACACAGGCAATAAAAACACAAAAGAATGATCTAAAATAGCTGCAAGTGATTTCTCTAGGGAGAGAACATGAAGGAAAGAAGATAGGGGAATATGCTGTTCATCCTAACAGACCTTACAGAACTCTATGACTATAGTAAAATATATTTCATATATTTTAACTAAGTGAACATGTAACATATTATTAAAACTTAAAACCTTTAAAACTTGGATTATTAATCAAAGTACACCAGTGTTAACTCTGCCTATATATTCTACTTGTATTTATTATTAGTAACTGCAGCAACAGAAAGAACCAATTAATAATTCCTTTATATATCAAAAAACTGACTAAACACAGAATACTGAATAAAACAAATTCAAGACACATGCAGGACAAGCAACTATTTCTTGAGGCAAGGCATCAAGCACAATCAAGCAGCAATACAACAAAAAAGAATTTACAGAACACAATCACAGAAACCATAGTTTAAAACATGGCATTTAATGGTTTGCCTTATTATAGTGTCTAAGTATCTGCTTCCAATTGGTAATAAACAACGTCGATATGCACTATTCCTCATTAACTTTCAAGAACACAAAAAGCTAGATTCAATAAGACACAAGAATCAGAATTAATAAACCTTCAATGCAACTCAATCAAATGTGTAACTTTAAAACTCTATGTCCTCTCAGTACACAAGGGAACAACAGAATGGAGTTAGCCAAATCTTCCCTTTGCCACTAAGACAACCAGAGGACATATTTTCAAAACTAGGAATAATGCGTTTTCAATGGGTTTGTATAATTAAGTCTTTTATAGAAATGTGATTGTGCTTCAAAGCTGTTTAACATCTCAGGTTGTAACATGTAATATGCTAAAAGCTATGTGCGAACTAAGGCAAATAGAAGCATGAAGTAATACCTTCTTACAGAGAGCTCGCAGCTTGAAAGCAGAAAAATGAAATGCAGAGGGTTCATAAAAGATTTAAGGAAAAAACTGTTACTTCCCCATAACTCCAAGTTAGTTTGTTTCAATCACTGTTACTTGTTTGGTATAGTTAATAGGCTTAATGCTCTTTGTATACTGAAAAAAGAAAAACATTCCATTTTCCTGAAACTCTGCAAAATGATGATATTCACAAAATTTTCTCTACTGAGCACACTAATGAATTCTACATGTATTATATTATTCAGGAGTTAGGCATGGGAAAAGAGGACCAAGGGTCAAAACATCTACCTTTTTGTTAAATGCCCAAATTTTGTCCCATTCCATGTTCACAACTGAACGTGAGGAGCCCTAGAAAAACAGTAATAAAATTATTCAAAGGGAAAGAAGTATTAATAGAATATTTTCTTTAAGTTAAGCTAAGCATGTTAGAAAAAAATAAACCAAGTAAAATGTATCCAAGTTTACTTCCATTGGAATATAAAACAGTATATACAAACTTAATTTAATCACCCTGAACAGGTAATATCAACAGGCAAGTATTTCACTGGGTAAAAATTCCACAGCTGCCTCTGTCCAAACCTATCTTAAGGCCTTAGGACATTCTTGATTTTCCATTATTAAAAAGGATGCTAAGTGATCAAAACCGAAAGTTTCTGTGATGACTGCCCTTGCACTGTTCACCATGTAAGAACTTATTCACTATGTAAGAATTTGTTCACCATGTAAGAACTTGTTCGTTATGCTTCAGAAGATTGGAGACTGACGAGAACTAGGCTTGGGGTTGATTAATGATTGTGCATTGAGTCCCCTATACAGACTTTTATTGTTGTTAACCACCATTTGATCAATAAATATGAGAGATGCCCTCTCAAAAAAAATAAAACAAATAAAAAATAAAAAGGATGCTAAATATACTCATTTAAAAAAAAAATTCTTCTGCCCTTGCATTATAGGGAACAATGAATAGAAAGAACAATAGAAATAATAAAGACTAAAGGGATATTAACAGATACTTGAAAATTCAAACACAGAAGCTGGAAAAGAAACTGTCACCCACCTGAGCAGCAATAAACTGTTTCAGTCCTTCAACTGTCATCCCTCTTCGCAGGACACCCCGAACCGTGGGGAATCTCGGGTCATCCCTGGGAAATAAGGAAATGTTTAAGTAACAAGGAGATACTTTTTTAATGTATAGATACAAAGAGTACAAAATACCTTAATGAGTAATAAATTATATTCAACTTCTTAAAATATTTGGACTAAGAGCTGGTTATAATAATTGGGTAGATCTCACAATATTAGTGGGCCTACATTCAATGGAAGAAGAAAACTGTTGACAGTCAAATACTGCTCACTAAAATGAATGCTCACTAAAATGAAATAGTAAAAAGCACATTTCAAAAAAGGCACAAAGATGACACCTTTAAATACAGAAAACCCATACATTAAAAACATTAAGCTTCAAGGTCCCTATTCTACGTATGACCATGAGAACCAGTAAGAGAGAATCATGTCATCCATGTATGAATATACTCTATAAAGCCCTTTGGGTTACAAAAAATATATGCTGGGTATTAACATTCTGCAAAAATTTGCAAGCTTCAGTAAGTGCACCAGTATTCTTTGTATGGGGCCCAACATAAACTTGCCTTTTATCATATTCAATTCCATAATAAAACAGTATAAAACATATATTTTTCAACACATACTTAATGTATATAACATGATGAATATAATATATACATTTCCATTAATTCAGGTAAAAAAAATAGACTTAACCCATCTGAAAATGTTTCATTCACATAGATATATGGCCACAAGATGATTTTAACTCCTACAGTTATTTTTTCACAGCAACTGCACATAGGTAATCAATATGCTAGAGATTTTCAAACACTTTCTGGGTGTTGAATCCTCTAGGCAACTGCACTAACAAGGGTCTTCAGCACCAAGGCAGAGACCATTTTTGTCTTTACCACACCCCCGACGGCATTTTGGCCTTCCTGGGACCCAGCTGAAAAGAACAACTCAGAGCCTCAGCACAGCTGGAGAGTGGTAGCCAGATCTATGAAGGACCAGAGAGTCACAACTACTTTTCCATTTAATGCTGAAATCTAAAGAGGATGTGCCCTCGTGTGTTTTTCATTCCCATGCACATGGTCCACAATGAGCACTTCCTGTCTGCAGCATTAAAACACACGGGATGGGACCTAAAGTAAAGCACTGGGTGAAATAAAGACAAAGACCAGAAACCCTCCAGGCCAACCCATTCCACCTCCTCCCCTTCATCCTCCCCACCCCTCATCAGCACTGATATACCATCTCCTTACTTCCTCTCACTTCTAGGTAACAGCTAACATACCATCCATCTACTAATCCTTCGTTGACAAACCATGTGAGTTTTCTTTTGGATAGCACTGTGTTGTTGAGATTTAGCCGACTATACTCCCAAATATATGGTTTTCTTATGCCTAAAGCTTCAATAATCCAATAAAACTGTTCATCTCTGTCATGGTATTCCGTTGTTCTCAGGGCATGTGTAACACCTTCAATGCTGTCAACTATGGGGCAGGCAAAATCATACGTTGGATAAACACTAGAGAAAAAAAGGGAGTATTTTGAAAAACAACATAAGCATTTTACCATTTCCATCTTAGATAAGGCATTATAAGAAGCAATATTAATTTAAAATATTTATTTACAAACTAGGAATTTCCTTGAAACCAACAGACTTTATGACTCATAATAGCACAATATATCAAAACATCAGTCTTTTGAGGACAATGATTAAGTTACCACTCAATATTCAAACAAAAAAACTGCAATTTAATAAACAACTGGGCACTGGTACAGCAAATTCTACATTTATATTTCTGTAATAGCCAATGTATACCATGGTAAGAAGCAATCAACAATATACATAATAATTTTGAGGGAATTCAGCTTCTCAGTATCTTAATTCCACTCAAGTAAATTCCTGAAGCTTAACACTTCAGTAACTAAACGTTCAAGAATAAAGCATTTCCATCTCTGACATATAAAAAAAAAATAATAGGTCAATTAAAAGTTCCACATAAGATGGGATCATCTTAAAAAACAATTTCTGTTTTAAAAATGTACACAACACGCCAACTGCAGTTTTAGTTTGAATTTTAAAAATACATGACTGCATTATGCCTTCTAAATTTTAAACTAAAACTTTATTAAGATGCTAGTGTGTTATGCTCTGCAGTTATTTGATACTGCAAATGTGTATCCAAACACACTTTTCCAGATGTATTTGAAGTATTTGGTTGGTAAAACAAGAAGCAATCATCCCATTAAAAATGAAGGACATGTATGTATATATATATACAGGTAACCACATACATGTTTGTCTATATATGAACACACACATCTATTACCTACAAGTTTAAAGAAAGTCACATTAGCTGGTAAGCTGATCATTTACATTCACCAATCCCTTTAAAAGTTATAATTCAGCCTTTGTATGTAGTAGGCATGTTCAAAATACTAAAAAATATGTTCCATGGTTATGTTATGAAGTAAATTCACAGGAGAGGGGAACCATTTAAAGAAATAAATCTATTAACCTAAAACCCACACACAGAAAACTGAAACAAGAAACATGACATTTTCTTGTATCGTTCATATTTTTGTAAACTTTCAATTCTCACTTTTTTATATTTGATATACAATCTTATATTAGTTTCAAGTATACACCACAGTGGCTCACCAATCACCCACACTATTAGATCCTCACCCCAACTAGTGAAGAAGCATAGAAAGATATTACAGAATCATAGGCTTTATTTTCCATCCTGTACTACCATCCCTGTGGACCAACTTATATTATGACTGAGAATTTTTGTGTCCCTTTATCCCTCTCTTCCTCCCTATCCACCCATTCCTAACACCTCGCCCATGGGAGTCACTATTCAGCGTCTATGAGTCTAGTGCTGGTTTGTTCATTTTGTCGTTTTGTTTTAGATTCCACAAATAAGTGAAATTATATGGTATTTGCCTTTCTCTGCCTGGCCTATTTCACTTAGCATAATACCTAAGTCCATCCATGTTGTTGCAAATGGCAAGACTTCTTTCTTTTCCATGGCTGAATAATATTCCATTGTATATATCTATCACTTCTTTATCCATTTATCTGATGAACACTTCGGTTGCTTCCACATCTTGGCTATGGTAAATAGGGCGGCAGTAAACATAAGGACACATATATCTCTTTGAGTCAGGTTTTGTTTTCTTCAGGTAAATTACTAAAACTGGAATTACTGAGTTGAATGTTATTTCTATTTTTTATTTTCTGAGAAACCTCTATACAGCTTTCCACAGTGGCTGCACCAATTGACATTCCTACCAATAGTATAGGAGGGTTCCCTTTTCTCCACATCCTTGCCAACATTTGTTATTTCTCATATTTTGGATAGTGGTCATTCTAACTGTGCCGGAGTCCAGCTCCAGTGAGTACAGGAGTTCCTGAAGGAGGAATGGCATTGGTGACTTAATGAATAAATGAGGACACAGACACTAGCAAAAGCTGAGCCTGGCCTTTAATGAAAAGTAGCAGCTTGTTTATATACTCTTTGATTACATAAAGTAAAGTTCAGGCATTGATCATTTATTTGACACATAGCATGGTTACATGAGTTTGGAAAATGACATTAAATCACTTGACCTTGTTCCTAGTTATTGCGGTCAGAAAATCTTGCAAAGGTTAGGTAGGCACCAGACTCTTGGTTTCTTTACAGATGACTATCTAAAGGTCACTATTCTATTGTTTTTATGTAGGGCCCTCATTCTTTCATAGCTATACTCCCATTCTTCATCTCCAGTAGGAAAGAAAGAGGCTCTCTCTAAAAGGACACGATGGCTTTTTGGCAGGCAGAGACAAATTTTATGGACTATGCCTCGGACCCATTTTCAGTAAGACTTACAATGGAGATTTTTCTGATCTGGAGTTAGGTAATGCCCTGTTCTCATTTGTTTTACAGTTTGCCAGGCTGTTCTTTGGAGGGCTAAAGAATATCATTTGTTCTCTGTACCCACCTGTCATCATTAATCACTGAATATGCCATTTGGAGGCCACATAGGGGCGGGGGAAGGGACCTCGACCCAGGCAAATCTTCCATATATTCTCCCCTATAAATGAGGGTCTAATATTCATGGGTCTCGCTTTCTCATCATCAGGGGTAGTCACAAGGGCAGTAGTGTTTTTTTATTCCAATTTTCTTTAGGGCTAGTACCCAAAATTTTCAGGGAGAATTGGATATGGCCACTTCCCTGAAGGAGCAGCTTGAATTGAGATCGAAATAAGCAATTTATTAGGAGGGACATTTTGAGCAGGAGGGATATCGGGGTTGCTCCTCTGGGAAGGTGGCTCTGCAGTGCCTTCCATCTGGCTGCCCGGACTGTGTCATTAGGCTGGCGGTTCAGACCAGCTCCTGACATAACTGGTGTGAGGTGATATCTCATTGTGGTTTTGAGTTGCATTTCCCTGAAGATTAGCGATGTGGAGCATCTTTTCATGTGCCTGACGGCCATCTTAATTTCTTCTTTGTAGTAGTATCTGTTGGGATCCTCAGCCCATTTTTTCTTTGGGTTATTTGTTTTTTGGTGTTGAGTTGCATGAGTTCTTTATGTTTTGGATGTTAACCTTTTACCAGATAAATCATTTGCAAATATATCCTCCCATACTGTTGGCTGCATTTTTGTTCTATGGATGGTGTCCTTTGCTGTACAGAGCTTTTTAGTTTGATGTATTCCCACTTGTTCATTTCTTATTTGTTTCCCTTGCCTATGGAGATGTATCAAGAAAAAAATTGCTCATGTTTATATTCAAGAGATTTTTGTGTGTTTTCTTTTAAGAGTTACATGGTTTCATGACTTACATTTAGCATTTGAATCCATTTCAAGTTTACCTTTGTGTATGACTTAGACAGTAATCTGGTTTCATTCTCTTGCATGTAGCTGTCCAGTTTTCCCAACACCAGTTATTAAAGAGACTCTCTTTCCTCCACTGTATGTTCATGGCTCCTTTATCGTATATTAATTGACGATATATGTGTGGGTTTATATCTGGGCTCTTCTTTCTGTTTCACTGATCTATGGGTTTGTTCTTATGCCAGTATCATACTGTTTGATTACTGTAGCTTTGTAGTAGTGCTTGAAGTCAGGGAGCACAATACCCCCAGCTTTGTCTTTCTCAGGACTGTTTTGGCTATTCGGGGTCTTTTGTGATTCCATATGAACTTCAAGATTCTCTGCTCTAGTTTATTGAAAAATGCTGTTGGTATTTTGATAGGGATAGCACTGACTCTCTTGCTTTGGGCAGGATGGCCATTTCGAAAATATTAATTCTTCCAATCCACAAGTACATTGTATATTTCCAGTGTCTTCTTTAATTTCTCTCATGAGTGTCTTAATAGTTTTCAGAGTATAGTTATCTCCCCTCCTTGGTTAGTTTTGTTGCTGGGTATTTTATTCTTTTTGATGCAATTGTAAACAGAATTGTTTTCCTGATTTCTCTGCTAGTTTGTTGTAAGAATACAGGAATGCAATGGATTTCTGTGAACTCATTTTGTATCCTGCAATTTTGCTGAATCCATTTCTTAGTTCTAATAGTTTTTTAGTGGATTCTTTATGGTTTTCTATGTACAGTATCATGTCATCTGCAAATAGAGGTAGTTTCAGTTCTTCCTTACCAATCTGGACAGCTTTTCTCTCTTTATCTTGTCCGACTGCTGTGGCTAGTAATGCCAGTATTATGTTGAATAAAAGTAGTGACAGTGGACATTCTTGTCTAGTTCCTGATCTTAAAAGGAAAACCTTTCAGCTTTTCACATGATGTTAGTTGTGCGTTTGTCATATATGGCCTTTATTACGTTGAGGTACATACCTTCTATTTCCCTTTTGTTGAGGGTTTTTATGATGAATGGATGTTGAATTTTGTCGAATGTTTTTTCAGCATCTATGGAGATGATCATGTGGTTTTTGTCCTTTTTGTTGATGTGGTGGATGTTGATGGATTTTCCAATGTTCTACCATCCTTGCATCCCTGTTCTCTAATTTCCATCTCATTGATTGTCTCCTATATATTATTGTAGCAGTCTATTATTCACTCTGTCCATTGTATTTTTCACTTCAGTTACTATATTCTTCAGCTCTGAGTGGCTCTTTGGCAACTCCTCTCTTTGCTGAAATCCTCTGAAATTGTCCAGAGTTTTCCACACATCAGTGAGCATATTTATATTTTATTTGTAATCTTTATAAAGAAGACTGGTGATCTCCATTTCACTTAGCCCTCTTTTGGCTGTCTTATCCTATTCTTTTTTTTTTCATTTTATTATCATTAATCTACAATTACATGAAGAACATTATGGTTACTAGACTACCCCCTTCACCATGTCCCACCCCACAAACCCCATTACTGTCCATCAGTGTAGTAAGATGCTGCAGACTCACTACTTGCCTTCTCTGTGTTGCACATCTCTCCCTATGCCTGCCCACATCATACATGCTAATTGTAAGGCCCCCTATCTTTTACCCTGCCCTTATCCCTCCCTTCCCACCCCTCTTGCCCAG